AACCTAAGTTTACCACAGTAAACTAGTGGGGGTTGCGTTTCAACTCGCCTAGGGCACCAAAATGGCTAGAGCCAGCACTGCCTGCAACTTTCTTACTGCCTTATTATTTTTTGCATTTTCAAATATTTAACTTTTATTAAAAATATTTCCCCATTTAAATATATTGATGAGATCTATTCAAGTCAGTGCTAGAGTCAAGATATTCATGTCTACTTCTGGTTTGTTGAAATACACTTAGTTTAAACAGTGTCATTATATTTCAGCTGTGTTCTGCAGTCATTTTGACGTCTAGCAACATTGCACATTGAGGCACTATAATAAAATACCAAATAAAACTCATTTAGAAATGCATTTGTGTATAAAAATATGACCATATTTGGGCACATGGTGCCTGATTTCACACATGCTCATTAGTACCTGTAAACAGGTCAAGTTCTTTAAAAACATTGGCACRTTCAAATTTACTTCATCATACTTGCAGTTTTGCTTTCTTGTGCTACTTTTAGCATGYAGCCAGAAGAGACTGCTGACAAATGAGCTACCACAACCCAAAGTCAGTGATACAGTAAATTTTATAAAACTGTTGTGGTAGCTGAGCAGGATCCACACATTCAGAGTGCCAACAGATTTTGTGCAAGATCCTTTTTTAAATATTTGCCAATAACTTTTTGGACTTAACTCAGTCTGTCTGTTAGTRATCTATCTCATGAACCATTGGACACATTTTAATAAAAMCTTTAGGAAACTACATGATTACCCTTTGGAGTCAACCAAATTCAAGATGRCCACCACGACCTACTGACCAACAATCTGTTGACAAACCAGTGCATTACTGCCAACTGAATGGTGAAAACTGTAAACACATTTAGTCCAGCTGATTATGCATTTATAAGTGTTTATGAAAGCATAAATTAAACCTTAGTAATGTGAGAACTCATTAAACAAACGGCCTTGTGGCAACATGTTGCCAACATGTGGTATCACAAGAACAGGAGAATAAAATGCTATTGTTTCTATTATTGTCCTTACTGGAGTTCCATACATGCTGTATAAAGTTAATCTCACTGCATCTTGCTCTGTTCTGACTTTATGACTGTTTCTGTTCATCATGTTGTTACACGAAAGGTAAGTTTTAAAAAAAAAATCTAAATGGCACATGACGTTTATCTAATGAAACCACAGGAGCAGAAAAATGACTCACTATCAGTAAAATKATGTGTTTGCGTATTGCTGAAGAATTTTAATTTGAAGCCACTTTGCATTTTCCTCCTGTTACATCACACATTTTATACAGTTGTATTTATTCATCTGCAGCCTTCTKTTTGTTGCTTTTGTAGGTGAAAACAACAAATTGCATGCAGTACGTGATGAGCTTATCAAATGTAATAAATGGCTATATGAGACAAGGCAGAGATACCTCAGCGCCTGGGGGCGGGGGTATACTCAAGCTTGTCTGGTGACATTCAAGCAGCGGTGATAAATAAATGAAAATAAAATAATTTTAAATAAGCCCAACCCTGACTGAAACAGAGTAGCCCTGAAGTGGTTATTAAATTAKTATTCAAATCTCTAAGTCAGAAAAGATAAACCAGTTACTTGGTTTCAAGATAAAGCAATAATGTTCTGAGGGGCATTTTCTCTTAAATTACAAAAATACCCTCAAGTTACTGATTGTTTCCTGCTAAAATGACACAAGTCTATTATTGTGTAAACACTGAGTCAGCATTTTCATAATTACTTTGCTGTTTACAGTTTTTTCAGTATGTTCATTTTATTTTATTTTTTGCTTGCAATTAAAGCCCTCCTGCACATTTTGTACTATTTTAACCATTCATATATGGCTACATTTTAAAATAAAAATTATATACTTTTAAAAATATGTTGCTTTATTTACCATAAATTTCTTACAAAATTACATTGAGATGACTTCAGATTCTTCAAATACATTTGACTTCTCATGCACCGTTCAGATTTTAGCCACTATTCAGTCACATTTAGCCTGGCTACCATTTTACTACTTTTAAATGGAGACAGTAGGAGAGTTTTTGATGTCCGGTGGGAGAGAGGTCCAGAGGTGGGGTGCCGAGTAACTAAAAGCTCTTGAACCCATAGTGGTTAGATACTGTAAGCTGGCAGTTGAGTGAGTTGGATGGAGGAGGAGGACCTGAGTGTGTAGGAAGATGTGTTAATGTGGAGAAGTTCTGTGAGATACTGAGGGCCAAGATTATTAAGGGCTTTGAAGGTGAGAAGCAAAATTTGATAGGAAATACGAAATTTGATGGGGAGCCAGTGAAGATACTTTAGGACAGGTGTTATATGACTGGTGGAAAGGGTTTTGGAGATGATACGATCAGCTGAGTTTTGGACCAGTTGTAGTTTATGGATGGATTTTGCTGATAAACCGAAAAGTAGGGAGCTGGAATAGCCGTGATGTGACCAAAGTGTGAACTAGAAYAGCAGTACTGCTGGGTGAGAGGGATGGACGGAGACGAGCAATGTTACAGAGGTGAAAGTAGGCTGAACGAGTAATGTTACTGATATGGGATTTAAATGATAATGTGTTGTCTAGGATGACACCCAGACTCTTAACCTGAGGGACGGGGGATGTTGAGGTGCTGTCAATGAGAATAGAAAAGTTGTTGTTTTTTGCAAGGGTGAATTTAGTTCCAATGAGAAGAAATTCTGTTTTGTTGCTGTTTAGTTTAAGAAAGTTGCTTGTGAACCAGGACCTGATATCAAAACAAGCATCTGTTTAGCTACCTTTTGCTTGTTTTAACTTCAACAACCGTTTTTTCAGCATATTTCAGCAGCCATTCAGTCAGTACTCATGTGTTTTTCACTTAAAATGCAGTTTTTCTTTTTTTTATTAATAAAAATAGTTTGCTTTTAGCATTGTTAATGCAGCTGTAAGAAAAAAAAAACAGTTTAGTAGGAAAACAAATATTTCCATAGAGGTCGAATATTTGACTTTGCTTCCTTTTGACTGTCTTGCAAAGACAATTTTTTGTTGTAAAATTGCTTTTTGACAAATATTTAGTCATAAAAGTATAATGATGTTATCAAACCTAATGATGAAAAAAGAATCAGTTTATTAAATATTAAAGGCCAAAACAAAATATCAAAAATCAAAATCAGTTTGACAAACTGTAGTCCTATAAGAGTAAATTTTACACTTTCTTTAGATTGTGTAATTTTAGCCACAGATCAGACTTTCTGTGTGGTTTTGCTTTTTCCCTGTCAGCAAAGGTCAACTTCCCTGTGTTTTGCCACAGATGTGAATTATAAACAAGTACACACTTAATGGAGAAAATGTAAAAAGCATAACATATTAAAAATAAATGCATTTAATATAACTGCCTTGAGGGCCCGTGTCATAATTTGCAATTACAGAACCTCCAATTTCACTTTCCCTTTCCACTCTTACTGCAGCTGTTCCACGCTTCACCACAAACCACTAAGAAGAAGTAAACAAGTGGGTGCTCACAGAATGGAAAGTTCATATTCCCAACAACCATGAGATCAACCTCCACCTCCAGTAGATTTGGTGGTCAGCAAGGATTCCTGCTGCTGGTCCTCTTCAGTGCAGATCTGTATCTAAATCTCTGAGGGTGTCAGACCTGTTTTGAATGATCCAATTTGTGAATAAAAGAGACTCCAGTTTATGCTGGTGGATGTGGATCCCACCTGCATGTCTGATGTTGATCCATCCATCCATCCATCCATCCATCCATCCATCCATCCATCCATCCATCCATCCATCCATGAGGGTAAAAATGTAGATCAACTGTTAACCAGAGAGCGTTGCCTTGCAGCTCAGCTCCCTCTTCAGGACAATGGAACAGTTCAGTATATGCAGTACTGTGGCAGCCAAAACAATCCATCTGTTGATCACATGTCCTAATTATTCCTCACTTGTGAACAAAACCCTGAGATACTTGAAGTTCCCCCACT